CTGCATGGGGCATCCGCGTTCCGCAGACCAGCGCGTAAGGACTCTTACAATATCAACGACCTGTGGAACGGCTGTGGACACACGAGCCGCAGCAGATAAGGTCTGCGGACACATGAGCCAACGCAGCCAAAGATCGATGGCACACGAGCATTAAAACTACGTGCGTTGCGACGGACGTCGATCCCAACGACCACTACAATTCCAGTTACACAAGCGTTACTACTTTTGTGTCAGTTGGCTGCGATGGCTCGTGTGTCCGCAGACCGTATCTATGATGGCTCGTATCACCATACGTTTGCGATCATACGAGCGTGGATGTACGACGCAACGCACGTCGATTTCGAAGATCGTTAAAACTCCAGTCACACACGCGTTGCTACTTTTGCGTCAATTGGCCAAGAAACCGCAGAAATATTTGTAATAAATAAATGTAGATTGTAGACTGTAGATTTATTATTTTTGTTATTGCAGTCCTTGCTAGAGGTGTTCCATGATAACTCTCTTCTTTGGACTTCATTGATTAACAATTGTTTAAAGAGTGTGTTAGCGACGACTTATTTTTAAGGGACGTCGAGGGCATTAGCTCGACGATATTTCGTTTCCGAACGATTTATGATAGGGACTTAGCCTGCGTGTGGCCCAAGAGGGAGGGTTGCAGGGATGCAATCCAGATGTCTGTCAACGGCTGGTGACTCGAAGTCACGCAGCTATCGGGCGTCATAGGATTGCTTATTAAAAGGAAACGTAGGTATGTTAGAAAAAGGCAAGCGACCCGACGTTGTCTTGCTTTAAAGAATAGGAACTCTGTTCCTTGAGGATCTGGCCACGGAGTGGGGAAGGCAAGGGTGCCTTCTGGTAAGAGGACTAAGCTTGACCTCTTGGCACTTACCCCAGAACCGGCACTGAGTGAAGTTCTCATTTTTACAAATTTCTAACAAGTGCATAATGCCGAGCGATTATCCTCGGCCACAATTACCGTTAATCCTGTTAGCGTACAATAATCAAGAGATTGTCTCTATAAAAATTTTTACTGCGAGCAGTGATAGAAAAACGCGTCGATTATCAGTTTTTCTGACCATCGGTAACGGCTCATTACCTTCGATTCGAGTGTGTCAACGGTGTTGATGACGTCAGTACCGCGAGAGAGTAGTGTGCAAAGAATTAGACGGAGAAAGACTGCCGAAATCTAGACAGCGCCGCGTGACGACTAATTAGAGTACCGCAACCGTGTTTTCGGCTGTCATTCCGCGCAGTCCTACCTACGTAGACTTCTCTCTGGAGCAGATCGGCTCCCGATTCCACTCGCACAGAATTACTTACGAAAGGAGAGTTCCGAGTGTTTAAATTCAGAACTGTTCTGCCTGTATTTGACGGGTGTAAAGAGTAGATGTTCAGTCTTGTGCGGATCCACTGATTGACCTCGCACAGCTGAGAATTCGTTAAACTCAGGAAAAGTGTGGTAATTTTCCGACTTTTATTTAACGAATTCGGTCAAGTACACCCCGGAATCTTGTATGGGCTTTCCTAATCGAGATTCCGCGAAATCAGTCCTGCGGCAGGAGCTTGAGAAAATACACCAGTAAGGTGTTCGATCCCACCGTGCAGAATTAAGTGGTCGTGTGTCTCGATCGTATAAACGATTGAGACACAAGAAAGTTGTCAAATTACGTTTCGACTTTCTTGTGATTAACGGTCGATCTTGAAGACCGACGAGAAGGAACTCATTTAACTTATAATCACTCTCCCTTTAAACTCTCAGTAAAAGTGTCAGTTTTTAGTACTAATCAATTCTCTAATTAACTATCCGTATATACGTTTGGCACGATCGAACGAGATTCTGCCATTCGAGAAAAAATAAAAGATAAGAATGACGTTTATCTTTGACGTTTATCTATGATATCTTACGAGCCAAAGATAAGATGGCTTAACCTTGACTGAGAACATAGTGGTTATAATTAACTCCATAATAAATTCCTTTTGTGTGCGACAGATTCTTTATAAGTATACGGAAAATATATATATATTGAATAATTATTACCGAATATGGGGTTGCACTTGAAATGTAGTAGAAATATAACTTGTGTACGATTGGAAATTGATCGACGAAAGAGTAATAGAAGTATAACTTGTAAACGATTTGGAAGTTGTTCGACAAAAGAGCTGTGGCGTCGCCTCCGATGCTCGCCACCAGAAGGATCGCGGTCTCACAAACGCTCAACCGGCCCCTCGAGCCGTTGCTATATATACATTCCTCGAACGACTTCCCAATATCCCAGTCGTCTAAGGCAGGGCCTGCTAGAAAGCCTTACTGATGAGTAACATACCACGTTGTGGTAGGCTTGGATTCCTATAATCAGAAAAACACGGCTATTTGATAGACACGCACAAACATGTTATACGTACCTGTGCCGCGCTTGTTTGCTCATGCTCCAGGCTTCGTTATTCGAACGTACAGGAGCGGGGATTTCGCTTGCTCGTGGTATACGAACGCACTAGTGGATTGTATTTTGTTTGGCGTAGATAAAGTATTAATTTTTTATCTACACCGATTGCAGTCGATTACCTAATGGACGGGGCGGCAAGTGAAGGTTGTAAGCCTTCAAGTGCACGTTTCCCGTAAGTTTGTCCACTGTGTCTATGCATCGAAACGTAGTGCAGTGCAACGTTTCGACCGTCGTCCTGTAGCTTCGCTTTGGCGTTCAAACAGGCGACTTTTTGGTCAATGGTTGCACTACGAAGCCCGACAGCACGTTCTTCACTGCACATTGCACACTTATTCGTTGTACTTAGCAGTATTTAAACCACGTGGGGACCTCACCCGCGACTCCGTTATTCCTCCGCACAGGTGCTCCTCTAAACGTTACACCGGCAGGGATCTTAAGGAGTAAGGAAACGAAGGCGGAAAAGTCAGGCGTTCTAAGCGGACGCCGACCCGAGTACACTGAACTCACCTATAGGTACACCATGTAGGTGCCTCCTCGGACGAGCGGCAATCACAAGAAAATCAAGACGGAATTTGCCAACTTTCTTGTGTCTCAATCATTTAAACGATCGAGAAGACCACTAAATGCTGCACGGAGGATCGAACACCCTACTGGTGTATCTCTCGATCACTCCACCGGGAATTGAACACCCTACAGGTATATTTTCTCGATCACTCCTGCCGCAGTACTGATTTCGTGGAATCTCGATTGGGAAATCCCATACGAGTTTCCGGGGTGCACTTGACCGAATCTCAAAGCGATCCGTTTGTCAAGGGAAAAGGTAGATTTTCCACCCTTTTCGGGGCGTATGAACTCTCAGATGTATGATGTCTATCAGGAGCGAGGTCTATTATATATCTGGTTTCGAACAACTTATCGCGCTCGACGATACGCGTTGCAATCAGAAGTCGCGTATCGATAATCTCGATCGAGCCCCGTGAACAATTGATCTTCGCTTCAAACGTTTCGTCCGTGGACAGTGAGACGAAGCGAATAACATATGCTTGTTGAACGTTCGGTCACCAGTTGGTGGCTAGAGTATAACTTAATCAGAGAATTCTGTTAGTTTTAGCAACAAGTAGTGAAATGTAAAAGTATCAGAGTATCAGAAGAGGAGCAGCTTTGCCCTTCGACGCGAATCGTCTACGTTAACTCGTAGCCGCGATCGATAGAAAGATTACGACGTTGAAGCAGTACGCGAAACTTTTTTATCTGGAAAAATACGGAGAAAACGTTCAGAACAAGTTTACCCAATGGCCTGTCACGCGAGACAGCGCGGCTAATCCTGGCATTGCTATCCTGGTACTGCTAGAGAAACATTTATCTATTTCAAAGCGACAATCGATGGAAAGTCTTATAGATCGGCTGGAAGTAGAATGTTACCGTTGGCGCGTTACAGTTAAAGCCGGGAGCACACGAGCAGTAAACCTTTGCACACCTATGTCGAGTGTGACTCGACATGAATTTTTATCTCAGGAGCTCCTTTGTCGAGTCCTACACGTCCTTTTTTCAAGTCCAAACCATAGAGATATCATACACTTGAAAATTAAAAGATACAACAATAATGTAAATAAAACAAATATGTAATTGAATTTGTTTCTTCCTCTATTTGTTTAAATTTGCCCTACTTTTTATCTAACGTAAATTTCAAATAAAACACTTAAAAGCGTTGGAAGCTGCTGGTAAGAAAATTCAAATATAATACGGAGTACAAAGGGTTAAAACAACATGCGTTGCGACGGACGTTACAACGTCCGTTGTAGAAATACATAGTGGTATATCAGAGGCAAGCCACTAAGAACATGCATCGCTTTCAACGTCCGCTGCAACGTGCGTTCATTTTTCATCGACGTATTTATGCTAGAACGCACGTTGGGATACGTCGACGCATGTTTTCGTTTGTTTGAAAACAAATGAAGCAGGCCAGACGAGCGTCGAACATCGAATGTTCCGTCAGTTATTTATTAGGTGGCTATCGTGATAGACAGTACTACATTCAGCTTTATTTCTTTATATTACATGCCTTACAGAAAAATGATAGGAAATACGGTTGATACAGAATTGGTAATCAATAAAGTCAAAAAAGAGAGTTATTACGGCACACCTCTAACGAGGACTACAAAGACAAAAATAATAAATCTACAGCGTGGAATGAAATATGTGTTCTTTATTACAAAATTTTCTGCCGTTTCTTGACCAATTGACGCAAAAGTAGCAACGCATGTGTGACTGGAATTGTAATGGTCGTTGGGATCGATGTCCGCCGCAACGCACGTCGTTTCAACGCTCGTGTGCCATCGGTCTCAGGCTGCGATGACTCGTCTATCCGCAGCGGTTCGGGACGTTGATATCGAGGATCGTCGCAACGCTCTCAGTTTTAACGCTCCTGTATCGCCGGTCTTAGCCTGTGATTGCGAGCCTGAATGCAGACATAGTCTGCGATGGCACTTGTGTCCGTCGACCTAGTCTCTCAGCGGCAGTCGGAGCCAGGACGTCTTTGCGCCATCGACACCGACGATGTATGCGCGTTTTAGCTGCGTGTTTAACCGTTGGTTGCCGAAATGCGGGATTTTAACTTCCCAGGGATGGAGAAGCCCGAGTCCACCAGGGACGAGAACAACGCGGATTTAAAGGACAGGCATCCGAATAGCCTTAACCAACATGCCCAAGCATTCGGAAACTCTTATCTATTTGCTTTGCAATTTAAGTCAGGTATCACAAGTGATTTCTACGATCGGTATAATGCAATTATTTACCATGATACAACCCGTGGTGTCGGACGACGTAATCGGCGAACCGGAAGGAATACACAGCGCCGAGAACGGGTGGCGCGTCAGCCGGCAGTGTTTCCGGTTATCCACGGGATGCTGTTACGCGTTTCTCTCGATTATCGTCCCCCCGATGTTTGCCGTTTGCCTAGGCTTTTTGTACGCTTGCCTCGAATTTCTGGTGAGCAATCCTAACGTTCGGAATCTTACAAATTTAGTATTTGCCCTCTGTACTCGTCGATTGCTTTCAGTGTTTCCACGGCATTAAACCATCCGTAAAAATAGTGAAACGCGCGCGAACCTCCCCCATGACGGCACTGACTGCTAGCCAATGCTGCGAGTAACATTGTCCGGTGTACAAGTATGATCCAACCGCAATAAAGATATTTCGACCATTTCAGCATATATGGTGCGTAGCGCCTTGCCTCCGTGTCTGGAAAATAACCTGCGCAGCGACCAGAAACATCCTCGTTGCTTTGGCGCAGGCCATCTTGCGAACCTTGACGGACTCCATCGGCTACTTGTTTCGCAATATTCGAGTGTACAATCGAAGACTACCGAACGTCCCTGCTGGGAGAGACTACCTTCTGCTGGTTTAAGGTGTTATCGCCGACAAATTGGACACTCTTATCATTTGCGAATCATACGTTCTGTGATGCCGTGGGCCCCCATAGAAATATGTATTACTTATAACGATTAGGTTAGTCGTAAGTGATATATTAAGAAGATGACGAACTTGTTGATTCCATTACGGGTAAAAAACAAATGCGCCGTTCATCCAGACCTAACCCGGTTGTACCTAAATAAAAAATTATAAAAGCGTACCGCTCCTGGCCCTCCAGGTTCATTTTCACGTTTGATTCTGTAAGAAGTGCATTAGTGTTCAGTCTCCGAATAAGCCTTACGGTATATCCTGATATCTTTGTCCGAGTGCTTGAACTCTTTCCAATCAAAATCATCCTAATATTGTAACGCTGCAACTATTCGGGCGAGTCTGCTGCTTACGGTATAACCGTTCGAACACGTTTCGAATCTACCAAAACATTCTAAAAATATCAGACTCATTTTGTACCATTAGGTCTGACTTACTCTCTATTCAAAATCACAGTTGGACAAAATTTTAATCGGATAAAGAGTTGTTCGAGCAAAGAATTATTCCTATACGCATTTATTTGAGACTTATCATTAATAAATAAATACAGCTGCAGCGATGAACGCGTAGCTATACGAATAAATATAATTTGTTTTAAAACACACATTTATGTATCTATTGTTATAATGTTTTGTAAATAAAACCTGTCTTACAGAAATATTTTCTTTCGGTCTTCTTTGGTTTTTGATGGACTTGAGAGTATGTAGTTTATTCAAACAGGGTAACGAGCAATTTCACAGTTTTTAGAATTCTTGAAAATCACTGTGGAATTGCTCGTTCCCAGATCGAGTAAAGTACATACTTTTAACGTCGGCATCGGGAACGGTGCCGAGTGACGGGAACGGAAGCGGCTATGACGCTCAAGTCGGAGCACATCCAGCGCGAGGATAAGCGCGCCGAGCGCCCGAACGAGTTCGTGGAGCGTAGACTCTAGGACGTCGCAGATAAGGTCTGCGGACACATGAGTCGTCGCAGTCTAAGATTCATGGCAGGCGAGCGTTAAAGCGAGACGAGCATCGCGACGATTGTCGATATCAACGGCCGAACGGTTGCGATCAGCCGAGCCAACGTAGATAAAGTCTGCGGACACATGAGTCGTCG